CCATGGTTGTGAACTAATGACCACACAGAAGAATTTGTCTCCCCTACTTCAGTGGATACACATTCTTTTCACAGATCATGCCCAGGAATGTGAGAAGCTTTGAATAGGGGGTCTGAAAACGTAGCCGAAACCCACTTGACAATAACAATGTTTATTGCTGTTTATGGTTGTAGTTCCCGGGTTGACAGCTCATGTTGAACATGTCAGAACCCTAGAGAAAGTGATTAAATATTTGCAGCCCCTAAAAGAGGTCAAAAGACGTAGCCAAGTCACAAGTTTAGGGCTGAGTACACAACTTACTTCCCAGACAGAGACCACTAGTAAGATAAAGGTTAAAGAATATATCTTGTATGTTAATAAATTTTGGCAAGAAATAAGACATTTTACCTAATTAAGTTGCCCACAGAGGTGAAGATGGAGGTAAACCTTTACATTCCCTTTGTAATTAAACATTCTAGGAGTCATCACCTGGTTCTGTTAAAGGGGTGTCCAAGATATAGGGTATTGTGGACATGTAAAATTATAGGATATTCGCCGGTTCCAATTAAAAGTGTCCAATATAAAGGGGTGTCCAGGATATAGGGATGTCCAACTTGAGGGGTTTTACTGTATCTGTAAATATTGCCAGTAACGTAACCTTTTGTGGAGAAAAGGATACTGCCAGGGATTTACACAGGTGTCATTTAACCAGAGTTACCGTTACGAACGATGGTTCCTTTCTGCCGCCATCATCAGGGCGATAATCATGGCCACCCTTGACCTGTAAAACGTTGTGAAACTTCTACCAGACTACACGGCGTTACATCCCAGAATCTTCGTAATTTATAACAGGCCGGTGTCACTTTATAATGGACAGACATAGCCCGAATCTTCGTAATTTATAACAGGCCGGTATCACTTTATAATGGACAGACATAGCCGTAACGCTCCAGATGTGGACGTACCAGTTTCGAATATCCATGGGATTACCTGATAATTTGACTGTCCATGTCCTAGAAATGTGCTACATATGGTCATTTTCAAAATCTTGCTCATCATTCGTGATTAAATGTATTTTCATATTATCCAGTGCTATATAATCTCTGCAGCTGAAACGAAGTCCTTAAATATGTAAAGTATTCATCGATTACAACGGTAAATACTATTTTAACGATAATAAAATTTTGCGATTATCTTGGCATTTATTCGGTCGCCATTGACCTTGAAGCTTATAACAAAATGTAGCGCTGACGTTAGAGTTTGAAACAAGAGACGATTGCTGAAAGGACATTTTGACCTCTGTCGGATGTTGTCACGAAGAAAGTCGGTTTATTGACACAATCTTCAGTTAAAAATTACAAGATTTCGAAAGCATTGCTGTTAGTTCACTCAGACTGAAGCTCTGTTACGAACAAAAGACATCTACATTTCTTGCTACTTCTATCATGCCACGTAAACAGAAAACAGACCACCAGTGGACACTGTTATATGCAGACTAAAGAACTTTTACGTTCTGATGTTGTTTGCGTCGTCCATAGTAAGTTATTTCGTCTGTTTTTCAGACAGCTTCACATTATGCCATGTCATGCCCTGTCTCTGAAGTCTGAAAAACAAATGAAACAAATAAAATACGAATTGAGTTGTATTTGACGGTGACGTGTGTGTTAATCATAGCGTTGTGTAATTATTAATTTATAATTCCTACTATTCTGTTACATGGATAGG